TTTTCAAGGCTCATGGCGATGAGTGGCACGTCACGTTGTCCGTTCCACCTCTCCCTCCCACCGCCTCCTGGGGACTGTGTGTGTGTGTGTGCATGTGTGTGGGAGAACTGACACGTGTTTTCCTCTTCTATCCCATAGATGGGTCCTTCTATCCGCTGTAGATGCCTGTAAATTAGCTCCACACTAATTTTGTGCTTCGATGAGCAAAAGTTTCCTTCCTGCCAGCCTGAAAGGCGGAACCGAATGAGGCTGGAAATAACGGTGGGTGCCGTATCGGAGGGGAGAAAAGCTGTTGACACGATGACAGGATATTTTTAATCAATATAAGTATGTTTCGCTAAAGAACATAAATAAATAACTTAACTCAAATGTCAATGGCTCAATTTTCGTTTTAGTATTTTTTATTGACCAACCAAAAAAGGCTCAAGCGTTAAAAATAAATGGTTGCAGAGGGTGGCCTTTGGTGATCGAAGTGCTATATACTCTGGATAGATATAGATACAATAACAGCCGCAGAGGCAAATATTGTGGATATGGCGCAGAGGCAGTACACCCTAAAAGATTTAGAAATAGATCGGTAGAAATAGATTGGTACACAACCCATTTATACACACTCCAGATACCAATCATTTAGTTTCCATTAGAAACGATCGTTGTTTAAGCTCAGTTTTGTATTAGAGCTGCAGTCCAAAATAATAGCGCTGAGAATCGAACTCCGAGCCCGATAGCAGTCAACAAATTCCTTAATAGCCAGTGGTGCAGAGTAATGTATGTAAATCCACCCACATTGTTCGCTGCTGGCACTGCCCTCTGTACCAAATCGATGTTTTACCGCAAATGCAGTCGCAGCGGTAGAGGCAGTTCTTTCGCCTCTCTATACACCTTCTTCGTGCCTGCACTTCTGCCGCGCTCCTTCTGTGGTGCGTTCTCGGCTCAGCTACAACCCGAGCCTGCTCTAGCGCTCTGCTTCTGTCGCTCTGTTTCGTTCTATCTCGCTAAGCCACGGGCACTTCGTTTCGCTTGCCCTTGGTCTGACTCGAGCTGATCTTCGTAGCCACAAGAATCACATCGTAGTTCCTCGGTCGTTCACACACACATACCAATATACATACATACATTCGCTTTCATCCACATACAACAATAAATTGTGCCTCTCCTATTTAAAAGCGCTTGACTTTTAATTGAAATCAAACCTGAAAAGCTTGCGAAAAAGCTCATTAGCTTCACGGACTGCTCGCACGGCAGCCGATAGAGTGCATACAATTATCATAACAAATACAAATGTATACAAATATTTCTGAAGGCTATCAAAAGTGCACCTGATCAAAATCATAATACCCTCCTCTGCATGGGTATCAAAAATTGAAAACAAATTCCCGTTCAATTCCTATCGGCCCCAAAAACTTCATGGCAAATTAACTTAAAACGTTTTTTGCATACCCAAATAAACACGGAACCATGGAAAAAGACCGAGAGAGCCGCAAATATTTCTGTGATCTATTTATTCTATGAAAATGCCAAATAAAATAAAATATAATACTAAATGGAGCGGGAATTTCCGTCATTCCGATCCAACATCCAACATCACACAAACACAGACACAGACACAGATACAAACCCCTACCCATAGCAGTACATACGAGTATAAATAAATTTTCATTTCGTTTCGCATTCATCAAACATTTGACAATTTTATCTCCATGGGCGTTCGAGTGTCCTTTTTCCAGCGGGTCCTTCTAAGCGGCCGTTGTCCGGCCAAAAAGTAAATTTATGTTATGTTTTTCGGCGCCCAGAGCCATTCACATTCGCATTCGCATTGGCCACTGCCATTGGCCATGTCCCTGTCCAGGCAGGAAATGCGTGTTTAGCAAATGTTTTTAAATTGTATAACGAGAATTTATGACGGACGCCGCCACAGCACACTCCGGCTCCAATGGCTCCTAAGGTACTCAAAAAAGAAAGAAACCGACAACAGCAGCGTCGAAAATGGCATGTTTCAAATTCGTTTAGCATTTCTTATTTTTTCCCCGTTTCGGGTGTTGAAAGTCACACACACAGACATACATACATGTATATATGGGACTGTATATGTGGATATATGTACTCGAATTCGTAGATACCCGTATAAAAGGAATTTTTTGGAGAGGTGAGCACTTTTTGATACTCCGTATGGAGAATTGTGTGCTGTATTTTGCCATTTTCTAACCCAATTCGTAAGAAGATGGTTCCAAGGGAGAATCATTTCAATTTTATACTGAGAAAATATAATTTTTGGTCTGAAATTCCATTACATGTGAGTTCCAGCTGACGAATTTTCGATCATCCTTTCGTTACTCCCTTTTTTACAGCGAAAGATGCATCTTTAAACAAAAGACCAGCAGCCCGAAAGTAGTTTCAATGCTTAGTTTCTGTAAATTGCGTTAAATTGAAGGCTGTTTTCCCTGTAAATTTCGTGAATCTGAAACATCTTCGAGCAATTTCTTGTTCCACTTTCTCCCTTCTGCAGTCGTACCCTTCAAAGCTGAGACAAGACAACCTTTTCCCTCCCGCCCCTCAGCCCTCCACACAGCACCGCCCGTCCTGCATAGATTTCCGTTTATTTGAGGCTCGTGGCACATTTAGGCACCTCCCCTCCACCATCCCCCCGCCCCGGGCCCAAGTTCGGTTTGTGCAGCATTTCAATGAGCAAATGCAAATAAATTATAAACAAAAAAGGGAGACGGAATTCAAATAAAAATATTGATGCTCTCCAGCCTCCCCTCCGCCTTTTCTCCCCTTTCCCCCTTTTCCGCCTTTTCCGGGAACGTGACGAAATGTGTTTCGTGTTTGTTGTTTCTATTTGTCGAGCACTTAAAAGAAATAACCGCCACGTTCTATAAATTAGATGGCATTTCGTCGCTTTTATTCAGGGCGCGGGCCCCGATGCGGTTTCTGGGATCTACTTTTGGTCCTGGTTCTGGTTCTGGTTCTGGCTCATGTTCGGTTTCGGTTTCAGTTTTTGAGTTGGGGCTAACGAGGCGTATGTGCGATGCCCTGACAAGTGAAAAATGTCCTTACATGCCCCATCTTCCTCAAGGAGCTGCGGCTTTCTGGCTTTAGATGTGCGTGTGTGTGTGTGAGAGTGGTGTGGTGTGTGGCGGCCTCTGGAAGTGTGAGTGAGTGGTTGTGGTTCAGCGCCTCCTTCTCCTTCTCCATCCCCAGCTCATGCTCCATCCCTGGCACCGTCAACCGCTTAATTATTCATCGAAGCCAATGCATTGGAACGCCGGGAACCGCAGGCTTATAAATAGCATGGCAGACCCCCCGCCACGCCCCCTCCTGCGGCCACTTCCACCACTCAGCGGAGTATTAATCAGCTCTTGGGGGTCTGAGCCACATTGATTCAATATATGTGCGATTATTACTCTTATGGAAGGAAGGTCCTTTCCCCAGCTTCCGTCTAATGCGTTTTTATGGCAATTTTTATGCCTGTGGTGTAATAGGTTTTGGGGCCACACATGCCCCATGCCCCGTGCCCCATGCATTTGCACATCATAAAACCAACGATAATTGCACTCAACAGAAACGAGAAGGAAAGCAAAGGAAAATGGAAAGTTTTCTGCATTGTTATCTGTCTCTCCGTGACTCCGTCTTGTGGGCGTGGGCGTGGGCCTCTGGCAGCCTCTCTTCCAGCCGTAATGATTACGGCACAGAGTGCAATGACACATACTCGTACAGACAGACGTGTGTATGTGTGTATGTGTAGATACTTCTATTTTTGTGGGTTACAGTAATCATCGCCTAAGAAGACAGCCCCACAAATGCACGAATAAAAAGGTGAATGGTGGAATGCATTCGAATGCGCCTTCGGAACGGTACTAACCCCCGCTCTCTCCCTCCCCCCCTACCGGTGAGTTTTTCGAATATTTTCTGTAAAATTCGAAAGCGTTTTGGACACCGTTTGAGGCCTGTTCGGCAAACATTTCACACATGTCCAGGTCGCTGTGCCTGTCCCCGTCCCCGTCCCTGCCCCTCTCCATGTCCATCCGAATGCTCGCTCATATGCATATCTATGGGATTGTTTGTTTGTGTCCGTGGCTTGGTTTCTTCTGTGCGTGCTTCCACGTTCCTTTTCTGAACTTCTTTTTCTATTTTTTGTTGTTTTGTCAGTCTGCTGTATTTTTTTGTGGCATTTAGCAGCATGGGGCGTGCTTTTGGCTGCGTTTTGTGCACCAAATGACCGAGTTCTTTGTTATAGTTACTACTTCTACTGCTTCTGCTGCCCCTGCCTCCTGCCTCGTGCCTCCTCTGCCACTGACGGTTGTAAATGTGGCGTGGGAGTATCTGTGTGATTGTGCGATTGTCGGCAGGCATTTGTGTGTGTGTGTGTGTTATGCTGCCTACAATTTCATGCGGCCGCATTTATGAGTTTGCGTGTCGTGTCCGTGCCGTACCCTATATAGCACCCGTCCCCCCCCCCACCCCCACACCTTCACAGCACTGCCCCCCCGCTATACAGACGTGTGCCGTTGCCAACACTTTCAATTGTTTTCAACACTAAAAATCCACGACAATGAGCATGAAGCAGAGTAGAGTTGCATTTGCTTCTGCCTCTGCTTTTTCTGTGTGTTTTTATTTGCACTAAATTGCGTTTTTCCGGCGGCCAAATGCTGGCAGTGGGCAAGTGGGCTTGAATCTGGTCGCCACAAAGATTCGCTTCAATATTTGCAAAAGTGTGGCACACAACGAATTGAGCCAGAAAGTTGAATGAACAAACTCCTCAAAAATGTTGTACCGAAGAAACGAATAGCAGGCCCCCTCGTCCTGTTTTTCCATAGTTCTTCCAAGATCGGAGCCACAGAGCTTCTCCGTGACATTGCCAGACGACAGGCATTCGACTCTGTAGCCGGGAGGTTCCATCAGCCCTTGTTCAATCTGTTTGAGGTGTCCGCTGGAACTACAACAAAATCATCAAAAAAACGAGGGGAAGTCCATGCAATTTATTAGTTTTCTTTCTCTTCGTACATGGGCAAGTAACTCTTAACGGAAATACAAGTAATCCAAGTGGGTTTGTGTTCGATCCTTTCAACGATCGTTCTGCGAGCGACAGCAGGTGTGATTCTTGAGAGATGACTTGTCTTTGAAGGCCTTCGGGCAGTCAGCACACGAATATGGTCGCTCCTCCGTGTGGGTACGGAGGTGTCTGCTAAGATGCCATTTAAATTTGAATGACTTCGAGCAAAGAACACATTGGTAGGGACGATCGACTGAGTGCGTACGAGAGTGTTTGTTTAGGTCGGATTGTCGCTTAAATGCTTTCGAACAGTCAGAACATTGGAAGGACCGCTCCACCGTGTGCGTACGGACGTGGTTGCGGAAAGTTCCGGAGTGAGAGAAAGATTTCGAGCAGTGCATACACTTGTGCGGTCGCTCCTCAGAGTGAGTACGGCTGTGGTTTTTGAGAGATTTCTTGTGTTTAAATGTCTTCGAGCAGTGCTCGCACTTGTACGGTCGCTCGTCAGTGTGCGTACGGATGTGTGCTTGCAGATAGGTCTTCAGTCTGAATGCCTTTGAGCAGTCCGAGCATTTGTGGGGTCGTATTCCAGTGTGAACATTTTTGTGTCTATTTAGATTCGATTTGTGTTTATAGCTCTTTGGGCAAAGGCTACATTTGAACTGATGATAGACATCCTTATCACCCTGGACCTTTGCATCGGTTTCCAATTGGTTCGTTAGCTCATTTCCACTATCTGACGGCTCCCAAGCCGCATCGTCTTCCTGATTACCACAGATGGCTTCTCCACCAGCCTCCTCCAACACTGGAAAATTGGGCTTATGGCTCTGCTCGCAGGTCTTCTTAAAGCTGAATGCAGCCACTGCATCCTCCAGGCACGGCGGACATATGTTTTCCGGCAGTAAGTCCCCTCGACAAACCTCGTGCCCGGAGCACTCCGCTATCATGTCAGCAATGCAAGTGTCCGAGTTCTGTGGCTCATCAAAAATGTTTTTCAATGGTCCGGAGACTGGCGGTGCCTTGCAGATTCTGCATACTTCCGCCATTGTCCTGCAAGCAAATTAATTGTAATACACACGCTAGCACACACCTCTGAATTTAGTGGAACCTTTAACTCACAAGCAAACGAATCGTGCGGCTTTTCGGAATTCCACAAAACACACGAAAAAGAAGAGACAAACAGAGAAGCGAATGCAGTGCTGCAAAAGCGTCGATGGCACTATCGATAACATCGATGGTTTTCGATTTGTGCCAGGAAGGATGGATACGGAATGCCAATCTCCTAGAGTAATACCTTTTACCATTTTGTGCAGAAAAATATACCATTTGCACTTTAAACGAAGCAAATTCTTGGGGCCCTTGCAGCCACAAAATACCAACAAGCGAGTAGTGTGACCGTTTGCTTTGGCTGGAAACAGCTGATCCACTAAAGCCTTATTTAGATTTAATTAGAGTCGGTTTTGAGTGGTGTCGTGTCATAATTCAGTTGGAAAGTGCCACTTCTTTCGGTCTTGCTGCCCCAACACACACCAGTACGGCTCTGAATCGATCTAATCATCCAACCGACTCGTCGTGCTCTTGTCGTACGCTCGTCGTTCGACTTTGGCGACTCTGGAGTTCTGCTCGCCCTCTACTGCCACATGCGGCACTGGCGCCACTCCTTGGTCATCTTTGATGCACTATCCCGTGGGGAAGTGGCGTGGAGAAACTTGCACCCAGTTGCAGGCTTTCTTCGCCCAGCGGGCTGACTGCAGCAGTGTCTAGGAACTCCCTCTCCCTCTCATTGCCCGTCTTCTACTTTCATGAACAAGAATCCCAATTGCACGTTCCTCGGTGTCGCACTTGCGAAAGTGCTTTCGCTTTGCTCACCTCCACAGATTGTTGTCTGATCAGGAAGGAGTCGCAGTCCGGAACTCCCTTTAAGTATGTCCAGCATCCGCCTACTGATAGAGCCCTTTCCGTAGGCTTCAAAGCCTCAATTTGCAGATATTTCTCTTGTAAAAATACTCTTTGGGTTACCTTAAATCTAGTTCAATTGGCCAAAGGTTTCTTCTCCCCATTTCCAAGTAATTCCTTCACAAAATATTGACCTTCAGTTGGTCGGAGCAACCGCTTGTAACGCTTGGATCAGCGAGAGAGCTAGTTCGCAGCGCCATCTAGTGGTCGGCACCGTAAGGGCCGGGGTAGAGCAAACACCCTCTATGGGCTAGGTCGGGGAGATCACGAAAAGTGGCATAGGAAGGGGGATAGAGTTAACAGCTTGGATTGTCAACTTTCTCTGGCATTTCACCCTGTCCTTTGAGAGGGCCCGAGGGTTGTAGCTTGTTGAGGGGCTTGGCTTCGGTCTCTTCCCGTTTTGGCGCTCGACCCGAGCGTTCGTTTTGTCTATCAACAGCCAACAAGTATTTTTTATAAGTGCTAAAAAGGAAAAAAACGTGTAATCGCGGCGGGAGGAGAAGAGCTTCAGTATTCCGGCATTAGTTTTTCCAGCCTAGGACCGGCCATTGGCGCAGTGGATACTGCAAAGGAGGAAAGCCGCATCGCCGTATTTTCGTTGCAAAGCGGCCCGGATCAGCTTCGCGGATCCAAAGACGCGAGGCGTCGAGGAGATTGAGCGTCCAAGGGACGCCAGAAGGGGTCCAGAGGAGCAGCCAAAGCAGCGGTGGGGAAAAAATTGCTGGCCCAAGTACACGGGCACCGACGTCACGCTAGCGGGAATTGAGCGGTTTTTGGGGAAGAAGAAAAAAAAAAACTCAATCGTCTTGTTGGAGAGCGAGCCAAGGCAGGGCTATGTAGCGTAGCTAGGGCGAAAGCAAGAGCAGTCCGAGATCTGGCGGGGTCTTTCGAGTGGCTTCGCGAGTGATTTTTGTCGTCGGGAACCGTCCCAGGGAACGATGGAGTGATTTCGGAAGGGAAAATCTAAAACTAAAAGAAACCGGGAATGGCCGAGATTTCTATTAATAATAGGTTTCAGTGTTAAGTGTTTAGTGTTAATAATTTAATGAGTTAAGTAATATTTCCTTGTTAGTTTTTTTTGTGCGTTAAAGTCTGCGACAGTCGGCGAAGGGCAGGCGAAAGAAAAGAAAAAAAAAGAAAGGGCAGAGAGAGTTTTTTTGTTGTACTCGAGTGGAATGAGTCGCTCAAAGTAAGAGTGGAGCGAGCAAAGAGTTGAATTTGTGAGTGAGGTTTTTTCCTGTGTGCCTTTGATTTACTCCCGATTGGAGTTCACTTTACAGGTCCAAATCTCCTCCGGGAAGCGCTTCGTCGGTGGATATGCGGATCATCGGGTGAGTGAGAACGAAGTACAAAAGAATTTAACCCTGGCAATTCCACTCATGAGAGAAAAGAAAAGAGAGATTTAGATAATTACATAATTCCCCCTATTGTTTGTTCCGTTTCTTCCCCCCCTTTCGGTCTGGCTGTTGTACTGTCTTTATACATGAATTCCGAGATAATTGTTAGTTTTATTCCTCATCATTATTAAGCAATTTTATTGATATTATTTTTTTTCATTCTTTTTACTTTTTATGCGTACTTTTTGTTGAGTTATGTTTAGTTTTAATTTAGGAATCGCTCAGTTTTTAGTCATAATTCAATAAATTTTATAATGTTTTAGTTCACAGTTTTTTTTTTTTTTGCCTTCGGCTAGCCAAATGCCCCTGAAGATCCCATAACGACGCAAAGGGGTCATTCCATATAAATTGTGACCTAGGAATGGCCAAGGTAGGGAGGGTCAATCCGCCCTCAACGAGATCTGAGGCGGGGAAAAGCGTTCGGGGACAGGTCGGAGAAAGGGCCAATTATGTGTGCAAGCAATTTTAGGTCCACCTTAACTCTCGTCGTAGCACGCATAAATTTTAACTTGTTAATAATGAAGATAGGCATCAGGTGAGAGGAGGGCAAGATCACCACCCCAATTAGCCGACGAGCATCCCAGCCGGGAATAACCGCGTGCGCCCTTCTCCCACTCCCCAACACCCAGCCTGGTTCGTTACAGTTATAAGTAATTATTAATTTCATTATTATAGAGTTAGTGGCGCCCAACAATGGGACCCAAAATAATTGGTAGAACCGCATCCCGATGTGGTCAACAATATCGCCGAAACACACACATCAAAAACACTTTCGGTTTTTCTGGCAAACGATGTACATATGTAGTGGGCTTGAGAAGAGAGGCATATACGTTTATTCGCTTTTATTCTCAAACTACGGTTGCTGCAGCATCTGGGCCAGAATACCGATCTTCATAGTCAGCTAAATTTTGCAAGTCAGTCGCATAGGATTTATTGTTGAGAAGTTGCTAGCAGCGATCGACAAGCCACGGCTGAGGACGTAGAGCTTAGTAGGCGATTAAATACCCTACAGTAATGGAGTCCGTAGCCCAACGAGTTAGACGTTTGGAAAAGCAGGGAAGAAGTCTTTAAATAAGTCCACCCTGACCACGAATAACGAGTTTTAGCAAAGACCCATCCATAGTTTACAATAGTCATGCGGCAGAGCTAGCCATCAAACGCTCGGAAATACAGAACAAAATCTTTAATAAGAGTTTGCCTGGCCACGGGTGATGGAAAACCAGCATACCTGTCCGCGGAAGCAAGAGTGCGAAGGAGAGTAAAGAAGACGAAACTGATTAGCTTCGATTTACTCGCACTCGAGCTTGCAGTCGTTGTTTTTGTCTTGCGGATCGGCGCTCCAAAGCAATAAAACGTTTGGTTGTTGTTGCGAGGGCTGATTAGCGGCACAAGCAGCGGTAAATTATCTTTGTTCTTTCTTCTCACACCAGTTCCGATATGATTTTTTTTCAGGGGAACTAAGCTATGCTTGAAGGCAAATAAATGTTTTTTTTGATTTCTTTATATATTGCGATTTTCACAAAATATTATTCTTATTTTTAATTATAAATTGTTTTATGTGTTATTATCAGCTACAAACGCGTCTCGCTTCCTCAAGCTGTAAGCAAAGAGTTTTTATTTTTTTTGTGTCACAAGAACAAAAGTTGCTAGAACGCCGAAACAGCTGTCTCGGTGGAGATAGGTCATCGACCGGCAAAGAATTGTGAGCACTAGGAAGAAAAAAAAAGATAGTTGACGTGCCGAAGGGAATCAATAATGGAGGGAGAACCTGTAAATCCGTCCGTTTGCATTCTGTGTGGGGAAGAGTTTGGGTCCCTGCAGTTATACAAGACCAGGTGTGGCCACGAATTTCATAAAGCTTGCATCGTCCCCTACTCGAAGGAAAATGCTAAATGTCCCAGATGTGGAAGAGTCACTTTTGAGTTGCAAGGCGGCGCATCGGTTTCGGGCACGCAAACCGCAAAACAGCAGGCAGGAAGCAAAGAAAAAGCTTCAGGCACCCCAGCGACGGGATCAGCAAATAATAATCCAGGTTCAGCTTCAGTTGATGGCGGGAATATAGGAATCATGATTACCCAAGCAGTGCGAGCCATGCAAAACGACCTTTTAACCCAGTTGTCGGAGCAGATGGCGCAAATAATACAAACCAATGTCGCTGCTCATCTTCAACTGACTGGCCGGGATCAACACACTCGAAATATAGCTCCAGACCATAGTTCGCAGGGTCAGGAAGCAGGCGGAGGCCGAGAATCGGCAGGATTTTACAGAGAGGGCAGAGACACTCCTAGAAGTTTAGCTTCCGATCTGTCCCAAAGGCCGGACAAGGTCGTACACATTATGAATGGTTGGAAGCTACGATTTAGCGGGGATGCGGAAGGAATTAGCGTTGATAATTTTATCTATAGGGTAGAAGCTCTCACCCATGCAACGCTGGAAAGCAACTTTGCGGTGCTATGTAGCAACGCTAGCATCCTCTTTGACGGAAAGGCTCGGGAATTCTTTTGGAGGTTTCATAAGTCAGTGGTAGTAGTCCGATGGGATGTGCTTTGTCAGGCATTAAAGAAACAGTTCCGAGACACCCGCACGGATGTGGACATTCGAGAGGCGATCAGGGACCGGAAGCAGAAAGAAAAGGAAGGGTTCGATGCCTTTTATGATGCCATAGTCCAGCTAATGGATAGTTTAGAGTCTCC